TACTGCCAGATTTCGATCCTATCGACTTCGAAGTGAGAAAGGCCATTAGAAGACCCCGCATAAATGTAGCCGTTTGCGTTTGGAAGGGAGCCTGGCCCACCACCGGGAGGTCGAAGCATGCAAAAGCCGCGCCAGGACCACGACGTCCATCCATGTTTGGCTAGCAAAGGACCTAGCAGATTCCATATGTTCTCAAAGTCCTCATGGTCTTTCTCACCAGGACTGCGCCATTCACTTATGGTTTTAGGCAGCTACATGGTATATCAGCTTCACACAGTTACAGTGTCAGACCGTGGACTAGCCTTGGAACGGTTCCACAAAGCGGTCGACGATGTCCAGAGGAAACACCCCGGAATACGCATCGAGATGCGTTGGGTACCGGCTCATCTGGATATACCAGGGAACGAGGCAGCGGACCAGGAGGCAAAAAAGGCAGCAGAGGATCCGATAGCGTCAACGGACAGAGCACAATTGCCGCGCATATTTCGCAAGCCGCTACCGGCTAGCGCGACGGCCGTCAAACGCGTCTTTCAGCAAAAGTTGCAGACAGTAGCGAAAAAGAGATGGCGAACATCAGAGAGGCGAACAAAGTTCAAACACATCCACGCGGCAGATGCCATCACGCTCGGCAAGAGGTACACAAACCTTATCGAGCCCCTCTCACGCCGAGTCGCTTCCCTCATCACCCAGCTTCGAACGGGACACGCCCCCCTTAACGCACATCTCCACAGAATCCGCAAAGTCGATTCCGCAGAATGCCCCTCCTGCCGTTACCACAAAGAAGACGTCTTTCACTACCTCTTACGCTGCCCGGCTCATCGTGAGCATCGCGAGCGCCTTATACGACGCGTTAAACCCAAAGCCAACGAGCTCAAGCTGTCACATCTTGCCGAACCAAAGAACATCCCACATCTGATACAATTTGTCTCCGACACAGCACGCTTCACCACAGACTTCACACCCGTACAACAGCCGCGATTACCTCCCCGTCCACATGCTGCCACACGAGACCCATTCCAGAACGCCATGTTCTGATTTCACGCATCAGCCGAAACGCACTCGAGATAACCCGCGACACATCTACACGGGAATAGGATTGTCGTAACCCGGCCATCCTGAGCACCCTTCGGGTGCTCGAGCAGAATAGAGGAAGAAGCAGGAGCCACAAACATGCCATTGATATATAGCTACGTAGAAAGACTCGAACATGTACTGCTGTACGCAAGAGTATAAAATTGGAAAAAAAAAAAAAAAAAAAAAAAAAAAAAAGCCTTGGAACGAAGGTTTATGTGCTTGTACCGCGCGTATATAACTGGCAGTGTCACCAGCCCCATTATGAGAGCTAGAGAAAGTCTTCGTACAGAAGACATGGTTCGTTGCAGAAAATTTGTTTCCGCGACGCGACGCGAACAAAGCCAAGTTGTTGATGTTTGGCTCAGGGCAGAAGCACAAAATTTAAGACACCTGACCACTAAAACTTCAACTCGTCTCCTCTTCATCTCGTTCAAGGTCAGTGTCTTCTTCGCCATCTTGATCCTTCTTCGACGCTGACTGTCATGGGTAGACGCCCGAATGTCTCGAAGACTGGGTGGACTGCCAGGATTCGGAATCCAAAGTGGCTGCCTGGCTGCCAATGGTTTCAAAGGGCCTTGGTCAGGGAATTCTATCTACGCGCCTGCGATCGTTCGAGATGAATACGGTAATTACTCAAACGCGTTCCAAAAACACGATTTTTGAACTTGAACGTAGGTTAGACGCTCTACTGACGAACAACACTCAAGTCATTATACGCGTCAGCCGTCCTGTTGCGGGAGACGTGGATGAACAATGAAAGCTCCAGCGATTCTCTGGAGAGGTTAGCATTATGAAGTTTTTGCGCAACGTGTCTACGGTCCCCGTACCAGAAGTTTACTTAGTCCACCCCGCCTCTGAAGACGAACCCGTCAATTTCATAGTAATGCAACACATGCCCGGGACTATTCTACTCAATTCATTTGGACTACTCGATACCAAAGGAAAGGTGCTGTATTTTCCCCTCATTTCGTGACCACACATTGAAATAATTCTTTCAGGAACGTTGCGTCTTGTCATTCGCTGACATTTGTCTACAGTTGTTCGACTTCGAAGTTCCCCAAAAGATTGGCGGTACATTGCCTGGGGAAGCAGATGATCTCACTGTAGTGCCTTTGATTTCGTATGCCGAGGCAAACTATACCTGTGAACGGGTTTTCTGCCATGAGGTCTTCAGCTCGCTTGAGGACTACGTCAACTTTCTTTTCGCGAATAAGCGGCAATGGATTGACCGCCAGGCGATCTCGGATCACGACAAGACGCGGCATCACAACATCCTCTCGATGTTGCAATCCCGAGCTTCCTCTGCCATGCGATCCATTTCTTCGCCATCTCTCCGGCGCTGCGTTTTATGTCACGACGACATGAACAATCAGAACATCCTCATACAATCGGATGGTCGCATTTCGGCGGTCATTGACTGGGAACTACATCTACTACAGCCCGCCATTTTGGTAGCTTCATCGCCACCGTGGCTCGTCTATGATGGACCTTCAAGTTCCGAATTCGCATGGGAGGGCATCATCTGGTTAGATTCCCCTGTGGAAGGCGCCCGTTTGGATTCTGTTTTCGAAGAGGTACGAGACGACTACATTTTTCAATCATATGGCTTGACAGATGTGTTCATAACAGTACGTGCGATTCAAGAATGGAGACTACTACGAAGCTTTGGTAAAGGGAAGGAATTGCGAGATATCGTCGCTTGGCTAAACGATGTCTACCCTGCCACGATGGAACGTTTATGCCGTTGGTTAGACTTCAGATATGGCGCGTAAGGCAGACGTGACGGATCTAAAACGATGTTTTCACGACTTCGTACTGAACGATGATACACTATGTTCGCCGGTACCTCTATGGCCCACTGTCTTTCGTGACTGCTCACTGCAAGTAAAATGGGAATCTATCTACCTCCTCCAACATCGTCGGCACGACTCTCGGCGAAGGCTGTACTGTTAACGGGCTCGATATGGATTTCGACGTTCTGTAGAGACATTGCAGGAGACATTCATTGAATGGATTATGGGTACTAATCAGCATTAGGTGTTCCGGTCGACTCTCCACGCAAGGATGATACTCCTCCGAAACGCTTGCATCTTCGGTGTCGTCGATGAAAGAAGCTTAGGAAGGTTTAAAAGCAGCACGAGTAGCTTTGTCGGGGACGAACGCATCTGTCGAAATTCGGTATTCACCCGGACACATCTGGCACCGCATCAGTCCAATCGCCAGCATAGACGCGGCGGCCCAATTCCCAATGCTCGAACAGAATCTTCGGCCAGTGATTAACGTTGATTGCTGGGTTTGGAGGTGGGGGAGCAATTGCAATGAAAACGACGAGCTTCACCTGACATCAGTTCACATTGTGAAAAAGCAAACTCACACTTGTTAGCCACCATGATGCAAATGTAATAGGTGTTCACTTGCCCCGACTAGAAGAATGGCAGCGCTCGGTCATTTAGCCGCGGTTGGGTAGAAGCACTCATCGGCTTGCTGAAACTGATTGTTAGGAGTAGAGATGCGATGAACTAGAAATAGAAACAGATGAGACTCGGAGCAGAGAATGATCATACCAGCGCTGGTATGTAAACTCACACCACAGTATTCTTGGTCTACACTCTCTTCAGTCGTCTTGAACAAATGTCCTCTTTGATCAGCAAGGACTCGTGTAGTAGGCAGCGGACATACTGTGCATCCAAGTTGGTCAAGATGTCCAGTTTGACTTTGGCTGTAGAAGAGTCGAGGATAGACATATGGCTGTGTCGTCTGAGAAGTGGCAATTCATCCGGGAGAGACCACCATATGACACCTCAAGAGGGCACTTGAACGCCACTCGCAATTTGAACGCCCCTCAGAACAATGGTGACTCTGGAATGGTATAAGTTGCAGAATCCTTGCTAGACGCAAGGAAGCCTCGCCTGACAGTGGCGCACTGCCGTTCGTAAAACTGAGGGTGGCGGCGAGGACCGTGCGCCACATCACGTGCCGGTATTGAAATCGTTACTATGGTTCCAAGACTGAAGCAGTAAAGCCTTAAAGGCCTCCACGTCCGTAATAACAGGCTTACTGCACTATCCTATGAGTCTGGATTCTGGAGGCGTACTCGACAAAAACAGAGGGCTCGAATATCACATGGATACGACTGGCCTGAGTCGAACAGGCATTCAAAGATCATTGTTGATTGTTTTGTGCTTTACCGCTAAGCTACAGTCGTTGCAGATTTAGCATACCTATTATCTTATAAACACACACACAAAATTCACGTTGATAAACTGCCCAAACAATGCTGTCAGAAATCGACTGAACGGTTCTCTTTCTATAGGTACAACGCAGTGGCCAGTACTATGTATAACTACGTCTGTATTAAGCTGTAAAAAGTTCGCATAATGATCTATATTCCCAAACTTGGTCTACACTCTGTTCAGTCGTCTTTGACCGTCGGAAAACGGAGACAGAACGGTGTTGTTCAGCAAGGACTCAAGTAGTAGACAGTGGACATACTGTGCATCCAGCATTCCTATTTGACATTGTCTGTGGCGTACATAGAAAGGTCGTGAATAGACATGCGGCTGTGTTGTCTGAGAAGTGGCAACGGTAGTGGCCCAATCGGGAGATAAGTACCACCACGTAGCACCTCAAGAGCTCATTGAGGGCACTCAAATGCCACTCGCAATCAGGAATTTGGTGAATTTGGAATGGTAAGGGTTGCAAAATCCTTCCTAGACGCAAGGAAGTCTCGCGCGATGGCGCACTGTTGCTTGTAAAACTGAGGGTGGCGAAAGAAGCGCGGAATGAGGACCGTGCGCCACATCACGTGCCTTAAGCGTCTAAAAGGCCTCCGGGTCAATCCTAACATTGAACACCTCTGGCACGACCATCCTATGAGTCTGGAAGCGTACTCGGCAAAAAGCATGGGCATTCGAGCATTATATGTATACGACTGGCCTGAGTCGAACAGGCATTCAAAGATCATTGGTTGATTGTATTGTGCTTTACCGCTAAGCTACAGTCGTTGATGTTCTGTATACCTTTTTGAGAAACAGCCTTTCAAAGTTCACGGTGATAAACTGCCCAAACATCGCGGTCAGGAATATCGACTGAACGTCTATAGGTACAACGGTGGTGAGTACTATGTAAAAGTAAGTCTGTATTAAGCTATATAAAGTTCGCATGATGATCTATATTCCCAAACTCATCGCGTCGCGGTCATCGGCTACCAGCCTGGCGTACTCTAAACATAAACGGTAGACATAGACTATCGGCACCATGTCAGCGAAAACAAGACAATCACCAATAGAAGAAAAAAACACGTACTCCGCATGTCCTCCTTCCGCCCCATGTGTTTCTTCCACTGCTTCCCAGCCCTTGCTATTCTTCGCAATCGGTTATCACCATCTCGCGAAGCAAAATCAGAGGTGGCAAGCGACGTCTCATCCTCCAACCCAGCAGCCTTAACGACCGAAGGCGGAGGACCAGAAAAGTACGAAACGATATTGTATATCTCCTTGTACGTGGTGGAAATTGGAATGAAGTGTACCCTGTGCGAAGATGAGCAAATGAAAAAAACGTGAAAGAGAAAAAGCCGTACCAAGGTTGTATCCAATCCGAAAAGTATTCGTCATACACGGTGTTCTTCACGGGCACCGAATCGCTAGCCAAGAACGCCATGAACCGACCAGAGTAGCCCATGCCATCGAGGTCCATAAGATACTTGTACGCCCAGTGTCGACCCAGTGGCACAGCGTCCCCGAACCGATGCTCCCTCTTCAACGCTTCCATCCCTCCGGGGTACGCGTTGGGATTAGTAGCTGTGACAAAGGCGGCATCAATGACGTCCTCGTTGAGTTCTCCAACAGACACTGTCGCAGAAATGTACTGACTGCCTGAGGGATCTAGGAAGGTCACGGTCCTATTCTCCTCAGTATCTGTGAGTGACGCCATCCGGACGAAGCGATGCCTGTGGTACTGAGACGCGAAACCTGGAGGATTGTTCCCGCCACCCGTCGTAGAGCCACGCCAAAAGACCTTGTCCTGCTTTTCCTCCCAACGCACCTCCATGTCATCAACGTCCCTCAATTCCATATTGATAGGATCCCAGCCATAGGTATACCGCTTCGTGCTGCCATAATAGTAATGGCTAGGAATTCGGATATCCATAAAGCCCTTGGCCTTAGCGGGGCTAAAGACAGGATAGAGCGCAGGTATAGTCCGCCAGTCCGAAAACAGATGACCTTGTTGATAATGCGCATGTGGTTTGGCGCATAGATCGAGATTGGACGATGTTTGCGACAAGAAAGCAAATTCACTTCCTGGTTTCGGATAGGCAGTGAATATCGACCGGACGGAGGAGAATAAACGGCGCGCTGGCGACGAGGGATCGCATGTACGCCGTATCGCCTCCCAGACGTTGCCTTCGCCTCTCCAATCCGGATAAAAGGGCCCACCAATGACGGACTCGATGCCCTCTGTCAAACTATTAGTAGTGGACACCGGATTTTAATCGGCCACCGTACGAGATGAATCCGAATGTGAGAGATTGGCATATTGCCGCGCTTCCCATGGCACGACGACTCGTCCTTCAGCTTTGGCGTTAATGGGGAGATCCATGTCCGGAAGAAGATGTACGAATTCGTCGGTCATGCGAGCGAAGCCCTGGGCGCGGGCGCTGACCTCTGAATCTTCAAAGCCCTTTTCGACATTGACTACAGACACCTTGCCGTCGCGTATCCTGACAAGGTCGATTGACGGCAGGCTGCCAACCTATTCAACGCGTTACTAGTGAGGAGATTGAGAGGTCTGTAGATACGCACCTGAATAGATCGCCTTCTGACTTCCTCTCCAGATAATGCCCAGAACGGCTCCAAGTCCTCGAATAGACCGTCGTACTCGTCTACCATTACATGCTTGTTTTCCTGTGCAAACTCCCACCATTGGTCAAAACCCTTTGGCGGTGACCTCTTATATCTTCGCTTGTATTCTGCAATAGCAGCCTTGAGTGTGGTACTCTGGCGTTCCAATTTTGCCCGGAATTGTGCCTCCGCGTCTTCGATAAGTTGCGGTATTGGATGGTGTATTATGGAAGGTAATATCGAGCTGAAGCCGACGTTAGTGGTAGACTCGGTGTCCGGTTTTGAGTGAGATTTGGTCCCCGTGTAGAGGCCAAGCTGCACAAAGATAATGAAGACACAGAACAGAAATATATAGCCCCCGTGGCGATTCCAGCCTCCCTGGTGATGAAGGTCGTTCCTCATATCGTAGAAACGCGCTCCTTCGCGGCCTGTCAATATATCCAATGGGAATCCTTGGAGTGACAGTCAGAAAGGCCGAACAGAATGCTTGTCTGCAATGTCGTGCACACCTTGAGCGCCGTCCCAGTTAATGCAGTGTCGCTAGGCAGCGTAGCTACGCCGCAGTGATTATGTTATAAAAGAGCGACGGATGCTGGGAAGCACGACAGAGACGACGGCGGCCACGACAACGAACAGAGCTGATGGCTGAAATGCAGAGTCTAGCCGCGAGACAGAATCATGGGTCGTGGGAACGTATGCTAAAATTAGACTCCACTCCGTCCTTCCTCATCAGCTGTGTATAGGTTCGCTGTGTCAATTGGAGACGTTGAACGCAACGTATAGTCTCTCAGTAAGATCACCTTTGGGTCATGAACTTCTGTGAGTTATCAATTTGTGGCGTATCATTATCTGGCAGTACATAGAACGCAACTGTACTAGTGGCAGTACTTCGTCTTCTAGCCTCACGCAAGCGCCCAAGCCTCTACTTTTTTCGCCTCTCGAAGAATCGCTTCCGGCGCACCGGAATCACGAGCAACAAAAATTGAACTGAGTACTTTGGGATAAAAGTTTCGCTCTTGACTGCGTGTGATGGCTTGCACCTTACCTCACAATAGCGATAAAGTCAGTCCGTAGAGAATCTTGCCTACCAGGGCAAAGGCGGCGAATAAGGAGCGGTACTGCTCGACCGGAAAGAGTTTTGCTCTAGGTCATAGACAGAGTCGGCTACTTATCTGCGTCGATGAACCTTGGAGAAAAACGTACTAGACGTTCCTGTAAACGGTGCTAGTAAACGTTCCATCATAGGTGTCATATGTGGCAGCATGAGCAAATATGGTAACAGATACCATGCATGCATGCATTCGAGATAACAGTATCAGTTTCGGCTTCCGCCCGTTTCATCACTCCCAGCTTCAAGTTGCCACAGTATTTCGTCAAAAATCCTCATAGATGAGGGAATCGGCGGCGAGGAATCACTGAGGAATACCTCGCTAATACGAGCTGCTTTGAACAAAATGAAATGAGATTCCACACTGCATCTGTATGGCACATTATTTTGTGCCACATCTGTTGGACCCGCAGAACGAAGAAACCAATACTCTATAACAGGTACATACTGAACTGTTCGTTTCGTAGCGCTGATACAGAGCACAGCCACAAAACAAACATTGCCGACGGCGGGCCGGCCCGCCCTTCTTTTACTTCAATCATGTCAACCAACTTGTGGTCTGCTCACCAGAGTCAGCCTCGTCCTTGTATCTGATCGACGTTGTCGGATGTCGAATATCCTCGACCCGAATCATGCTCAAATTGAGACTACAAGGACATCATCGACTCCAAATCTGTATGAAGAACAATCAACCCACACAGGCACAGAAAATGGAAGGCAGGGAATTGATGCTCGGTTGTGCATATGCTGACACATGTGTTCCATCTCTGAGCCACTATTTCGACTTTGGGTCGCCACATGCATCGACTACTTCTAAGCCTGTCGAACGAGCAAAGGACGCGTCGTACACTGGTTTGTCCAAGTCCGGGTTACGTTTTACTTCTCTTCCCAATTTGGTAGTAACAAAATGGGGAAGATCCACGTGCCCCTGCTCTATAAAGTAGTGATCCTGAATTTCCAGGACTACTTATCCTTCTGACTGTCAAGACCCCCCTCCGCACCGAGTCTTTCTCTACCTCTCTGTCGATTATATCTCGCTATCAACACCTCTTTGCTCTCATCACACGATCCACCGTCCTTCTTGAAGGATATTAACCCCCAGCTTTAGAGCTGTTAAACTGTGGCGCTGACGCTTGTTCGTCGTTTCCTGCCTCTGACTGACATGGAAACTTTCCTAACGTCATGCCAGGAATATCATTCATCATCATGTTCCACACCTCCTCCATCAAGACCTCGTTCCAGTATGTTGAGCCACTCGGTCTAACCCAGACCTGACTTGACGTCTCTGCAGGAAGTTGAGCAAGGCGACAGGATCTGGACGACCCTCTTCACCGAAACTCTTGGAAAAGATATCTTCTTCGTTTGGAAGGAGGAGCCCGGAACCTACGGCTACACCACCAACGGGAGCCACAATTCCTCCGCCACCACCATCTTCCCAGTCGCCCGAGATCGCTTCGCCATTCTCGTTCGAAGCTCAGGATGACTCTCTGGAAACAGAGTTGCTCTTATTCCTCGCAGCCATCGGCACTGGGGACAACCCTGCCACCTTCCAAGAGAGCTGCCACCAGTCGATTGAGCACGAAATCGAGGCTGTCAAGACTCTGTATGTTTTCCCTCTGCCCCGTCATCTCCGTTACTCACTCCAGTTCAGGTCTCAGATGGCGGCCCAGCAACACCAAGCGCCGCCACCAATGGCGTCCGAGTCGACGGCTATGGTCGAGGACCGCCCACGACCGGCTATTCGCCCAATTCCTCGTCGAGCACGAGCTGCGGCCTCTATGCCAGCGCCGTCTCCGTTCGCATTTAACGATATTCCGGATTATCGCCCGGATATCATTTATCGACGGCCCACCACCCCACCACGCGATGCTGAACTTGAGTTCATGCCCGGAGCTGAGCTGCGCCATGAGCACAATCTTATGGAGACAAAAGATCTAATGTTTGTCTTTCAATTACTACTTTTAGAACAGAATCTGATTGTTCACTTATAGTGAGCGGGAGAGGGCCAAAGAAGCTGGGCAGTCGATTAACTCCCACTTATTTATGCCTGATCTGT